TTACAAGAAAATCTACAAGAAACAAAATAAAATTCTTACAACATTTTCTACAAATTTTTACCATGAAAAAAAAATTCTATAATCCTTAAAATTGTAGCAAAATTTGTAAAAATTTCTTGTAGATTATTTTTTATAAAAATTTATAAGAAATATATGTAAATTATATTTTACAAATAAATTCGTAAAAAAATTATGAAATTATTATTGTAAAAAATTTCTGCAAATATTTTTTTAAGAAAATTTATAAAATAAAAAAAATGACACATTTCTATAAATGTGCCATAGAATAGCGTTGTCGTGATAACAGATTGTAATGTAAATTAAGGTTTTAAGGAGGGGAAAATGTGGGTTGGATAATCATATACGACCATGTCTGTTTTTAGCTTCACTTACAAACCTATTTGGAATTATCTATAAGTAGTTTTTTATCGGAAGAAGTTGTATTTAATACTCCACTGAAGAATTTGGAATTTGATAAAGCAATTTTAATATGTGCATCCAATGTTGGAATTGAAATATTCATCAATAGTCGATACTTACACGTAGTCTTGAAAAATGTTACTTTAAAAAGATACGAACAACAAAGCAGCTGCAACATCTGCATCAAGCAATTAATTACAATTAATGGTTTAGAGTCACAACTTAATCTCAATGATTATCTAATTACATGATTAAAGTGATGTGATTGAGAAAAAAAATTATATTACGATAACTTTAGGCTTATATAACAAGATAAATAAATGTCTAAGAAATTAATCTTAAACATATTTGGTAGAAGAAAAGTTTAATCATGATTCTTAAAAATTACAAATTTTCATAATCCTGATTTTTTTAAAATAATTAATTTTTTTTAATTATTTATAATAGTGTCTAAGGGGTATATTAGATTAGGATTTTAAAGAATTTTTTTAGTTAAAAAAAAATCTTGCGGATTTTAAAAGACTTTGCAGGATTTTCATGACTTTTAAGATTTTGCAGGATTTTACAAGACTTAAAATCAGGATTTTAATGGATTTTGCAAGACTTTTAAATCATGATTTTAATGGATTCTGTGGGATTTTGTAGAGTTTTGACATTTGATAAAATTTTAAAAAAAATCATACATTCAAATTTAAAAAAAGTCAAAGACAAAAAAAAATAATGTCTAGATAAATAATAATAATAATTCTTCATAATATCCTATCCTCTTTTTATAGCATCCACTATCAATCGTAACAATTCATCGGAATCCTCCTTGGTCCAAGCTTCATAGTTTTCTTTCTCTTTTCCTTTTTCTTTATTATTTCCTTGTGAATCTCCCATTTGAATTACTAAAACAATATATGTTGAAAACTAGTTATATAAATAATTATGGATAAGAGACAAAATCAATAAAATTATATTATTATTTTTAGAAGCACACCAATCATACAAGATCGAATATATCTTG